AATAATTTTAATATTAAAATGGTTTAATTTTTCATATCTTCTATTTTTTTATATAAATTAATAAAAAATACGATAAATAAATACTTGTACAAGTATTAAAAAAACTTTCAAATAAATTTTTTTAATGTCTTAAATAATGTATTTATTATATGTTTTTATTATTAATTATATAAAAATTATAAAAATAAATTTTAATTTTAATTTTAATTTTAATACCATATAAAAAAATTTAATTATATAATTAATAAATTCAAATTAATTATAAAAAATATAATAAAAACATTTTTAACTTAAAACACTGGTCAGAACATTCCTCAAATAAATACTCGTCAATCCCCTGCATCATCTCCAACCCTATAACCCGCAATAATAGGCGAGAAAATTCCAAAGCGCGCAGTACTCAACTCATGCAGTTAAAACATCACATCCAGTAGCTCCACTTTGATCCGTAGCCATGTTTTGATTTGTATCAACTAGCAGCTATCTACTAGATTCAGGACTTGTTTAGTTAGGGTTGGTAAGATAAAAATGAAGCAATCAAGAATGAGTAACTGTGTACTCCGCCCCACGTTGAATGGACAAAGCAATCCTACTACACATATATCTATGTGCATGGAGAAGTTCAATAATTGGTATATTTTTTTTTGTTTAATACATTTAATAATATTTATTAATTTAATTATTAAAAAATTAATATTTTAAATTTAAATTTAAAGTGAAAAAAATTTTTAAAATGAATTTTAATGACTGAATCAATAAATATTATTAGATATGTTAAATATAAATATTTATCAATCATTTTCTTTTTTTAAACAACAACATTATTTAGTTGTTACGGTATTTGCTTCTTGTCATGGATCACCTGTCGAGGGGAGTCTCCATCTTCCAATTGTGAATTTATGAGAACTTTGATTCCACGCTGAATTGGGGTAGGATCTACTTCAGCCAATAGGCACATGATTCAGTGCAATAAAATTAAACCAAGAATGAGAAACACAGTTTTTTCCAATTTTCATGTGTTTTGATAATATCTTGAGACCTTCGTAAATGTAAAAGATACAATACTCAAAACATTTGGCACTTGGATAGAACAGGATATTTTATACTAACCTGTCCAGCACTGAGGAGAGCTAATAAAGCCCATGTCGTTTGCACCAAGTTTGTACGGTCGCCTTCTAGATACACCTATTTCAATTCAACTTATGGAGATTAAAATGACTCTGACCAAACCAGTTATAGTATCCAAGGTGAATGCACTATGCATAAAAGCATACATATAGCAAATAGTCATGGATGTCCCAATAGCATCTGAGAAGTGAACCATAATTTGATTGAAAAAGAAGAGACAGAAAATAAATCAAAGGTAGTGCAATAGTTAAAATTTCCTCAAAAAGGAAAGGATATATACATGCTGCAAACTTGGTACTTCCTTCACCTCTGATCTGCAGTAGCCTTTGCCACCCTGGAGGGGGCTGAGCAATATTGGGCTTGTCAATTGCCCGAGTAAAAGTAGAAATAAAGATTTCAACTTTACACTTTTTTCTATTTAAGATGTCGACTTTCAACTTTTTTTATTTAAGAATTAATTGGTGATGATGCTGAAGTTAGCTATTGGGCTTGTCAATTGCCCGAGCAATATTGGGCTTGTCAATTGCCTGAGCAATATTGGGCTTGTTAATTTTGTCATTTTTTAAATAAAGATGTCAACTTTCAATTTTTTTTTATTTAAGGATATTAACTGTCAACTTTTTTTATTTAAGGATTAATAGGTGGTGATGCTGAAGTCAGCTAACATATTTTTTTAGGTTAAATACCTAAATTGATCCCTCAACTTTTATTTTTTAATCAATTCATCCTTGAACTTCAGAAAGTATCGAAAATGTCCTTCAACTTCATTTTTCAATTAATAAAATTATTTCTTAATTCATGGAAGAATTAATTA